TCCAAACAGCCAGGCTTGATGGCTCCAGTGGAGTTGATGCGGGATATCAGCGATCTGGGTGTTTTTCCTCTGTATCCTTCGTTTCTACTCTCTCCGCATGAAGATCCCGGAGCTGTAAGGGACGAACAGTCTTGTACCTGCAGAGCAAAATCAAAATGGCAACACTTTCCGGGACGGTGGCCAAATTGCAGTGGCAATTCTTTCAGGTCTCCCAAAAAAATGCCAGTGGCTCAGTGTCAGGAGGGGAAAAAACAATGAATGTACATAACATTTTGTATCCTCCCCTCGCATCTCCGGAGGTGTTTTTTTTGAACGAAGCATAATCGATCTTAGCACTGGAAACTAATGAACTAACATATGGGGTGGCGTAGCATTACAAAAGCCACTGCTGGACGGCAGGGATGAAACCAAATTTGCGAGTGGCTGTGGCAGTTTATCTGATCATTGATCGATCAGATTCCGAATGGAATCGATAGGCGATAGGTCTGGCACTGAAAAAAATGTGTTGATGTTTATATACTGCATGCTGAAAGCTATCATAACCCATAGGATCCATGTATGCTATATATGGTAACATTTACCATCAATATACCCCAAATGTTAGCATATATACCATACATGGATCCTATAGGTAATTGAAATTGAAAAGTCTCTCAGTGAACCAACAAATATGGTGCTACCAAAAAACCATGGGCAGAATCACAGGCTCTTAAATGCCGCTCGGACATCTCAAAGGCGCACGCGACGTGGGGAATCATCACAGCCTGATCTGCTGGTACCTGCACAGCAACGTGATGTGACACTGGACATTATGTAATATGTATATAGCCTATGCAGCTCTGACCTTCTGAGCTCGTAGATGCAGAGAGACTTCTCGGCAAGGCGCAATAATATATATATATATATGTATGTATGTATGTAATGTAATGTAATGTAATGTAATGTTATGTTATGTTATGTATGTAATGTATGTAATGTATGTATGTATGTATGTATGTATGTATGTATGTATGTATGTATGTATGTATGTATCTATGTATCTATGTATCTATGTATCTATGTATCTATGTATCTATGTATGTATGTATGTATGTATCTATGTATCTATGTATCTATGTATGTATGTATGTATGTATGTGTATGTGTATGTGTATGTGTATGTGTATATGTATATGTATATGTATATGTATATGTATATGTATATGTATACTATATATATACGTGTATATATACATATATATATGCGTATATATATATATTATATTATATTATATTATATTATATTATATTATATTATATTATATTATATTATATTATATATACGTATATAGTGTTTGTTTGTTTGAGGTAAAATAAAAGTTCCGGTGTCATTGGTGTCATTTGAGAATCCGCAAAATCCACAAGGTCCTTGGTTCTATACGCGCAGACAAAGAATTTCAATGTCATTTGGGGATGGGTCAAAACCTTGTACCCCTGGTGAACCTCAAAATAGCTGGTAAATGGATGTTCATCCCACTAAAAATGTATCTATAGGTATTGACCCATACCCATTTCGGACCATGAATGTTGCTCTGGATTTTTCTTGGGGGTTCTCACATCGCCTGACCTCCCAAAGTTCTGAACAACAGCTTCATTCGAGAGTTCATGATCCGGGGGGTCAAAATCCTGTGACTTAGTTCATAACTTGGATAACTTAGGTGAATACTCAACAATGATTCGATCATCTCAAGCATTCCGCAATCAAACATGTTTTTTGGGGAAAGTATAACTACCCGGTATCTAAGATAAGTATGAATAAGATTTACATTCTATCTTTTCGGGATAAGTATGAATAAACAAAATCAACCAACTATCTGGGTTTCATAATTACAAAACTATACATAACCAACTAAAAATATTTAGATATTCATTAATTATGCTATAAGTATATATATATATATCATACTATGTATATGTATATGTATATTGTATGCATAAAAAAACTCATAATAAGTTTCACCCTCATTACCCTCTGGTAAACAGCCACAAAAAACTATGGTTAAAATCACCATTTTTCATGGGAACATCCACGATCCACCTTGAGGATGGGATCCTCTTTAGGGATGGGCTCCGTGGCAAAGACGTCCAGTCCTCGGTGTTTAAAAAACCGATGGGAATAGATGGCTAGATGAGGGAATAGATGCTTATTTTGATGGGTTTTTATGGTCTTTGGTAGAATCTTATCAGAATTTTTGAGATATCTTTGGATATGAGTGATTATATATGGAAAATATATGGATTATACATATATTTATAGATACAAATTGATTCTTACATTCTTAATGCAATTCTAATTGCAATTATATGAAGGCCACGGCCAAAACATCCTTTCCACCAATCCGCTATGGCGATCCATCCCATAGTGGACATCCTTTCCACCGACGGGTCGGGGTATTTTCCCCCCCATCCATGTCCATCCTAATGGGAGAAAGTGGAAATTAGAAGACTATGGGTTGAAAAACCTCCAACTTTAAAATGGGGTTCTTGTATGTTCTTGTAAAATGATGATTTTGTTCAAGTAAGTCGGGTTGATCCACTTCGAAAGTCATCAATAGTGTCAAAATCTGTGGATGAAAATCAATACCTTGGTGGAATCTCTTTGGAATTGGTGGAAAGTGAGAATATGCGAAACCACCAAACAAACAAACACACAAAAAACAAACAAACATGGATCAGCTATTCCATTGGTTTCTATGCACAGTTTGCCTTTAAGGCTGGTTCTATTCCCGAGTCAGCTTCAAATCCCTTGCATGGCCCGTGTTTTTGGCTTCATTTTGACTGGCTGTGAATCTACACTTCGCTTTCCTGGAGGGTTTATGAACAGATGCCCTGAATTGAAATTCCTATTCATATATATATATATATACATAATATATATATATATATATAAATATCTTGGCTTTAATTGGGAAACTCATAGTTTAAATGAATCTAAATTAGGTATATATGTATGTTCCATCGCCACGTTTGTTTACTAGAGGGTACGGTGGGTACAGATTGAAAATAATAACGACTAGATTGAACACTCTATATACACTCTATTAAAGAAAGTGGAAATTGTAGGATAAACGTTTGCCCCAGCTCGTACCCCAACAGCACATATGTGCCACCTTTCGATCCTTTTGTCGCTCAAGACAATCCAAAGGAATGTGCTTTTCGGTTGCACAAATAAAAACAGCACCGAATTGGTCGCGCAGACTTCGGTGCTGAACAAAACTTGTGCTGCAGGTTCTTCCGGGCCTAAAAACTCAATGGGGATCATGATCCCAGGGATGGAAATTCTTGACATGTCAAGTCAACACAACAACTACATTGCTACATCTACTTCTTCAGTAGAGCCTACCGGTCATTGGGATGTTACAGCGGAAATGCAACGTGTCTAGCTTTCTGATTGCAGCTGCTGCATGTAAAATGGCATCTCAACGACAGATTATATGCCCTGTTTCCATCTACATACAATTGTTCCAGCCTGCCAAGTTGTTTGACTTGTGTAAAAGCCAAGAATGGGAAGTTCCTCAAAAGCTGCATCAAAGAACTCCTTCCCAACTTCCGCGGATGGTTTTGTCTTTAGAATCCTTTCACAAATTCGATCCAATTTGGTTCATAGCTTTCCCAGTTGGTTCACAATCATCAAAAACCAGGTGGTATAACTCCGCACAATAACATACAATTACCGAATTACCAATCAACTAGGCGACTTTTTAAGCCATTCCCTCCTGCACTACAAAATTCTTCGGGCTCCACCCGTGGCCAACCCGGGGCGACGCGACTTTCTCGGACTCCACCCGAGCGCAGCCGCCTCCGGTTGTGGCGCAGCAAACAGCGCCGAGTGACGTTGGTTGCAGCTCTGAGCCAAATCCACTGCTAAAGAGGTCACTGAAGGTGAGTGTTACAGTGGTAGTAGACTGGCAATAGGTAATACGATGGATTTACAATGACATGATGTTGACATTCAGAAACGTTTGAGAGCAGATGGTGATATGTTGAAGGCGGCGATAAATTTAAAATCAGCAATGGTCATGGTGATAAGGCATATGTTGAACCGGTTGATATTCATGTCCCAATGTGTCTGTTTGATAACAAAGCTACAAATCAGTGATTCACAAATGAGATCACCCAACTGACAAGTCAAGTTGACTAAAGTCAGTGGCCAGCTGCAGTGGTATGGCTTCATCTTGGTCTTTTACATATCACCAAGGGAGTCTGCAAACCTCCGCACTGCGCATCTTCTAAGCAGGCGTAAGCAGGCTTTGGCTTCATCGATTGGAGTTCAAGATGTGAAGATATGTGAAGATATGTGAAGAACTCAGCAAACCAGACAGGTACAAAGATCGTGTGTGACATCAAGCAACATTCAATCGCCATTTTAATCCCGGGGGGTTGTCAAAGTTTGAGTTGCTAGATGGTCACCTTAGGGACACGATTCTGAGGCTTGGATGAAAGATGTCACACGTTACCAGGGGTTTCTTTGGCTGATAGGATCTCCAGAATTTGATGCACAAATTTAAGTCATGCTCCCTATGACAATTTGTGCATTTGGGCAGCGGCAAGAAAGGCCATTTTCAGACCCATGTAGTTCACTGATGTTCACTGTGGATCTGATCTTGAATTTTCAACATGATGTGTGAAAGTTGTTTGAGGCTTGGGACCAGAATCATTTTTTTGAGAGGAAAAAGGATAATGAGCTGTCAAATAGATACACAATCATGGGTGCACACTGTTTAGTAGGAGTTTACTGTTCTATTTTTTTGGAGGTTACTGTAACCTGAAAAGGAGATTCCCACTCACATCGTAGAATCTGGATTTCAAATGTCATGGCTGGAAAGCTTTCTGACAGATTCTTCTTTGCATTTGATCTTGACTTTCCCGAAATCTTGAGTTCCAATCTCTTTGAGCAGCTTGCTCACACTCCAAAAACAATTAAGACAAAGGCAGAAGAGCCTTGAAGCAGCTCCAACCCCTCAAACACTAAAATTGTTCATGACGTCCACAGCCTGCTGGACCGTGATCACCATCACATGGTTTTCCTGATGCGTTGCCAAAAAACATAGGAAAGTCCTTGAGGATCATCATCCCATTTTGGGCAAGAAATAATAACACATATCCCAAACATTCCAAAACATCCTGAAATCATCATTGAGGAGTAAACAATATATTCAAACACATCTATCTGTCGATCTATCTGTCTATCTGTCTATCCATACATACATAAATACATATACATACATAAATACATATACATATACATATATATATATACATAATATATGTATATATACATAATATATATATACACATATAATACATATACACCAACATACAAATAATCCATTTAATACCATATGTAGCATAGCACCTCTTTTTTTCAACACAGAGAGTATCCAGGAGGTTGATCACATCCAGGAAGGTCAGCTCCATGTCCGACCCCAGCTCCGCCATTTTGGATGCCTGTTGTCGGGCGACGTCTGCGGCCGTGCGGCCCTGGGAGCTTTTCTGAAGTGGATCCGCACCGGCTGCCAAGAGGATTCCTGGGAACTCGGATTTCACCAACAGAATTGGTAGCGCAGCTAAGTTGGTTGATAAGTGGTTGATTTAACTATGGTTTATGGTAGATATAACCAACTAGTTAATGGATGTTAATGGGGATTATCATGGATTATAAACCGACTTAGCTATTTGATTGGGGGGCCCCATCCTGTAGGGATTTCACTGGGGGAAATGTGGATTTCGCCTGGCTTGCGATGGCTTGCGGCTTGATTTTGGGATCTAGTGGGGGTTGGACGAGCAACAATTTGGGACTTTAATGACAGTGGCCAGAATATCATATATCACTAAGTTGGCTTAAGTCTTAAGCAAAAGTCAGCAGGAAAGGGTGCGGCTCTATCATCATTCCCATGATGAATATCGCTATATAAATACAGGGTTTCCCTGAAAATGTGTCCTGAAATTTGAACCGTTTCTGGCCCCTAGCAGCCAGTGGCTGCTGGGCTTTTTTGGGCATCTTAGCCAGGTGAACCTCGCCCCATCTTTTTTTGTTCGCCCTATGGGAAATACCAAAAAAAAGATGCACAAATGTTTGGGCATCGCAGGTGGGTAATAACTATAGTATATCATAATGATATCCCAGTTTACATGGAATATGCCTCCCCCTCAGTTATTTTGTATATCTATATATAACGTACCAGCGTAGCCCAAAATGTGGGAATTGTAGCCCCCATGAGCAGAAAGAGCAACATTCCGTGGATTCTCCGCAGAAAATATGACACATGTTCCAACATGTATGTTTTTGCAGCTTAGATGGTATGGGTTTTGAAATGGATTTGATGGTGCCGAAGTGGGACTTTAAATATCCAACTAATTTGTTCGACCCTTGAACATAACTGGTTGGTGGTTTCAACCCATCTGGAAAAATATTAGTCAGTTGGGATGATGAAATTCCCAATATATGGAAAAATAAAAATCATGTTCCAAACCACCAACCAGATATAAGAGCCTCCCATTCACCCGATTGACCCTTCGGATTGCCGGCATTTTGGCCCAGCTTCGAACCATATCGCAATGGCCCAGCGATGCAGCCAGGTGCAGCGGGTAGACCATCTCCTTGCAACGGAACCAGCGCCGGCCATTGATCCCATGGGCTGCCGGGCTCTGAAGATCTGCAAAGTTGTAGCCCTCCAATAAGTCCCTCATGCGTTCCTGTCAGGGAAACTGGCAAACATGCTGAACATATATGAAAATATATCTATATCTACTGTTTGGTGGCTGACCTACCCCTCTGAAAAATATGAAAGTCAGTTGGGATGATTATTCCCAATATAGGGGAAAATAAAATTCATGTTCCAAACCACCAATCAGTCTATTGTTTAGCTTCATATGGACCACGCATGCCATGCATTGATGACCTGGGAAATGATGGGTGGTACACAGTTTGGACCAAAGTCAGTTCAGTTGAAAGGGACAACAGGTCAAACAGGACTGGTGCTGGATCTTGTACTCAATCTTTCGATGAGGTCTAAATACTGTTCTCTGTCCGACCTACTGGAAACAATGACTGCAAAACCAAAGCAAGAAGCCATCACCACAGGAAATGAAATTGTCAGTACACACATCAGCATGAGGCTATGGATCAAGATCGAGACCCCCAGAAAGACATTGAATTAATACAACAAAATGTCTCCCGCATCTCACTTTTGACCCATACCCAAGACCTGTACATGGGTATCTTTTAGGTCCTTGGAATCATAGTTCAGTCCTCCCATGTGTGCTATCTGTTTTTTTTTCCCTGGCTTATGAAATCCTTGCATTCAGGTTGGGGGCTTAAATTCCACGTGTAAATGATCAAACCAAGCCCCTTTGAGGCTCCTATCGAGATCACAAATGGGTTCCTACAAGTAACCATTTTCTTATCTTCACAGTCTACTTGGGGCTATGTTTAATTTTTTTAGTAGTTTAAAGTATGCA